TAGCTTCTTTGTTTGGTGACTCACTTAGGGCCTTTTCTGGGTTTGTGTCCAGGTGGAAGTCCTCCCCTTGTGAGGTAAATCAGCGAGTGTCAATAGGAGGCTCGTGGAATTTTTGTTTTAGGTGGCAGTTTCCCCTACATCGGCTCGGGAGCACCTCCGTGGTTGTGGGGGTTGCCAGTTTCTGGTTACTTTTCACTCCACTGGTTTTGAGTGCATAAGAACCCACCACATGTGACTGCACGAAGACAAGGGTTCAGTCAGTTAGCTGTTTTTGAAGACTAGTGGGGAGTGGCTCCTGTCCTAAACCCAGTTGGCAGCAGGTGAGTTGGTTTTTGTCTTTGTTAAAAGTTATATTGACTTTGTTTATAGGGAAAAAGGGCTTCTATTTTGCTAAATTTTGTTCAGTCACCTTCAGAATTAGCTTTAGAATTGTGTACTAAGGAGCAGTTAATTGAAATAGCTGAACATTATGAAATTGAAATAGTGGATAAGGTAAAGCACGCAAGGCTTTTTTAACACTGAGTGTAGCTGACAGCAGGGTTTATGCTACAGTAAAATCTGCAGTACTGAAAGTGTATGAGCTTGTACCTGAGGCATATCGCCAACCTTTTCGTTTTAGGAAAAGGTTAGATTCCCAGACTTATTCAGAGTTTGTTCGTGATTTGACTTTTGCATTTAATCGTTGGTCGACAGCTTCTGAGGCTACTACTTTTGAGGGTCTTTGTGACTTAATTGTGTTAGAGCAGTTCAAAAATTCAGTGCCTGAGGCAGTTGCAACATACATTAATGAACGTAAGGTTAAATCTCCATGTGAAGCAGCAGCCCTTGCAGACGAGTATGTGCTTACTCACAAAAGTCACTTTGAACCAAGCCATGCTACTCATAAGTATGGTCCTTTGTCTGAAGCTTTACATCACAAGCCCCAGCGAAAATTTGGTCAATACCTGGAGATATTGTCTAGTTGAGGGTCACTGGAAGAAAGAGTGTCCTTTGCTTAAATCTAAAAGGTCAGGTCAAGTTAAACCTACTGTAATGGCAGCTCCTGTTACACTTCCTGACCTCCAGGTTGGACTGCTGCAGTCGCAGGTTAAGCTTGGTTCTTCTCCTTGTGATTTTTCAGCTTTTATTTCTGATAGTAGTGTCTTTAGCTGGTGATAGCAAAGAAGTCCCAATTAAAATTTTGAGAGATACAGGAGCTTCGGATTCTTTTATTTTAGAGTCTGTGTTGCCATTTTCTAAAATGTCTGATACTGGTTGTTGTGTCATTGTACAGGGCATGGGGTTAGTTCCATTTTCCTCTCCTTTACATAAAGTCACTTTAGCTTGTGGTCTTGTAGAAGGTGATGTGGATGTTGGGGTACGGCCCCAGTTGCCAGTAGAGGGAGTGCACATGATTTTGGGGAATGACCTTGCAGGGAGTAAAGTGTGGGCAGATGGTAATCCAAGCATCTTTAAAAAGCCAACTTGTCTGTCCCCTGTAGGTCTATCTTTGCACTGTGGTAGTGTGCCTTCTGATGTATTTCCTGTTTGTGCTGTAACCCGTGCTGCCTCTAGAGTTAAAGAGGGTGAGGTTAAGCCAGAAAATTTTGAGTTGCCATTCAAACTTCAGACAGAACAGTTGTCCACTTCTAAAGATACATTAGTAGCTGAACAAAAAGCTGATACAACTTTGTCTAATCTTTTTGCTAATGTTGTGCCTGAGTCAGTTGTGAGAGACAGTGCTACATGTTATTTCCTTCTAGTTGAAGTTTTAGTTAGGAAATGGGTTCCACATAGTGACCAGGGTTTGGGAGATCCAGTCTTTCAGGTAGTTGTCCCAACTGTATTGAGAAACAAGGTTTTACAAACATCACATGGTGACGTAGCAGGTCATCTGGGTGTACGTAAAACTTATGACCGTATTCTCCGTCATTTTTTCTGGCCACGTCTTAAAAGAGATGTAGCTCAGTTTATTAGGACTTGTCATACATGTCAGCTCACTAGCAAACCAAACCAGGTAGTCAAGCCAGCACCTTTGTACCCAATCCCAGCCATAGGGCAGCCTTTTGAACATCTCATTATTGATTGTGTTGGGCCATTACCACGATCTAAGTCAGGACATAGCTATCTATTGACTGTAATGTGCCAGGCAACTAGATATCAGGTTGCTGTCCACTTCGCACAATAACTTCAAAATCAGTTGTAAAAGCATTGACTCAGTTTATTTCTACCTTTGGTATTCCAAAAGTTATTCAGTCAGATCAGGGTTCTAATTTTACCTCCCATATGTTTACCCAAATTCTTAAACAGCTTGGAGTTAAACATAACAAGTCTACTGCATTCCATGCTCAAAGTCAAGGAGCTTTGGAACGCTTTCATCAGACTTTGCTACGTGCATACTGTACAGAGTTGTCAGCAGACTGGGAGGAAGGGTTACCCTGGTTGTTACTAGCCGCTCGTGAAGTAGTGCAGGAAAGCACAGGGTTTAGCCCAAATGATTTGGTGTTTGGTCACAAAGTCTGAGGGCCGTTGGCAGTTTTTCAGGATGGTTGTTTGCCTGATGAACCACCTCAAAACCTTCTTGACTATGTGAATGGGTTTAGACTGAAGTTGTACAGAGCTGGTGAATTGGCTAAGGAAAAATTGGAATTGTCTCAAAAGAAAATGAAACAGAAATATGACAAACAAGCTGAGCTGCGTGAGTTTAGTCCTGGTGATCGTGTCCTCTTTTGCCACTTGTAAATTCACAGTTTCAGGCAAAGTATAATGGTCCATTTACAGTGTTGCGTAAAGTGTCAGATTTAAACTATCTCATTGAAACCCCAGGTCATAGGAAATCCTCTAAACTATGTCACATAAACCTGCTAAAGTCCTACCATTCCTGTAGTCCAGTTCAGGTTTAAAGCACTTCAGCGGTGAGGTCAGCGTTGGCTACTGCTCCCATCACTGTCCCTAGTGGCCTTAACTTTTTGGAGGGGTGAGAAGAGGAGGTAGTTGTGGTGTCGGATGAAGTTTTAAGAGGTCGTTTGAAAAACTCTCAGACTTTGCAAAATCTTAGTCCACTGGTAGATCATCTAGATTGTGGTAAATGTGATGAGTTGGTGGCCCTCATTAGAAGTTATCCTGCTTTGTTTTCTGACACTCTTTCACGGACTCATTTAATCGAGCATGACATAGACATTGGAGAGGCTAAACCCATTAAACAAAAGTTTTATAGAGTATCCGAGGAGAAGAAACAACAGTTGGAGACAGAGGTGCAATACATGTTGGAAAATAAAATTGCTGAGCCATGCTCTTCCAATTGGGCATCACCCTGTCTTTTGGTTAGAAAGTCTGACTCAACATTTAGACCTTGTACTGATCATTGAAAAGTAAACAATGTCACTAAAGCAGATCTTTTTCCTCTTCCTAGGATGGAGGACTGCATAGATCAAGTTGGGTCAGCAAAGTTTGTTAGCAAATTTGATCTTCTTAAAGGGTACTGGCAGGTGCCTTTGACGAAGAGAGCCCGTGAGATTGCTGTCATTCCATCTGGCTTGTACTGTTACAACGTAATGCCTTTCGGGTTGCGGAATGCCCCAGCCACCTTCCAGAGACTGATGAATCTGGTGGTGTCAGGTCTGGAAGGGTGTGCCGTGTATCTGGACGATGTAGTCGTTTACTCAGATTGTTGGGAGGAGCATATCCGACGAGTACAAGCCCTATTTGAAAAACTGTTGTGGGCCAGGCTGACTGTTAATTTGGCAAAGTGTGAGTTTGCCAAAGCCACTGTGACTTACTTTGGAAAAATTGTTGGCCAGGGTTTTGTTCGTCCTTTGGAAGCAAAGATCGGCGCTGTGAAGCAGTTTCCACAGCCAACCACCAGGAAGGAACTAATGCACTTCCTTGGAATGGCAGGCTACTACCGTGCCTTTTGTAAAAACTTTTCTGTAGTAGTGTCTCCCCTGACCAACCTGTTGAAGGCCAAGGCTGAGTTCATCTGGTCCACCCAGTGCCATGCAGCATTTGAGGCAGTAAAGGCTCTTTTGTGTTCAGCTCCTGTGTTGGCAGCACCACGTTTTGGTCAACCCTTCTAATTACAGGTAGATGCTAGTCAAATAGGGGCTGGGGCTGTCTTACTGCAGGAAAATGACAAGGGAGTGGAGTGTCCCGTCAGTTTCTTCTCCCTGAAATTTAATAAGTACCAGCAAAACTATTCGGTCATAGAAAAGGAGGCACTAGGCCTCATCTGGGCTTTACAGCACTTCGAGGTCTGTCTGCTCTGGTTTGACTCCTTTGACAGTTTTCACTGACCATATTCCACTTACATTTTTGAAGTCTTTGCAGAATCCCAACCAGCGGCTGATGCGTTGGGCCTTGTTCCTACAGCCTTATAACCTTGACATTAGAAACATCAGTGGTAAAAGTAACCTTATGGCTGACGCTTTCTCCCGTGCTCCATTGAACTAACTTTATTTGTTTTTCTGCTCTCCCCTGCTGGGTGTCTCTCCCTCCTTCTCTTAAACTGCTCCCCAGGTACCAGGGCTGCTGAGATGGAGGAGTGGATGGTTGGTCAGGGGATGCAGAGCAACTACTAGAGCTGGGACTGGTAGCTATTTGTATTTTGGGGAACATTTTGAATTAGTTTTAATGTGGGCCAAATTTTGGGCTGAGGGTGGAACCCTCATTTTAAGGAGGGGAGTGTCACGGTCCTTTTCCTCTGACCTGCAGGAGCGGTTCCTCCTGTAGGCAGAGGCGGATCTTACTAATTGGAGCCACTTGGGCTCTACATAAGTTGAGCTCCACTAACACTCTCTCTCTCTCTCTCTGCTCCTCCAGGTACTCCCTTTGTTGTTTGGTTCAGCTTGGTTTTGGTTAACACTCAGACCCATTCTCACATTCATGTTTACCCACTCATACACTGCACACACTAAACATTCTTACATACTCACATCTCATCCCTGTTTTATTTATTTAAAGTTACTTATAGGTTACAATAAACTATTGATTGGCCTAAACCGTTATGTGTCCCCTCCTGTTTGTCATGGGCACTGAGGCGGCCTGTGACACAGAGGTGAGAGGAAAGGAACGAAGTTGATGGGTAGTACCAGTTTGGAATGCCGTGCCTGCTGACGACACAACTAAGGGAGAGCATGTAGATGGTAAACAGGGTAGGGCCGAGCACGGAGCCCTGGGGGACCCCACAGCTGACAGTGTGAGGTCTGGATTTTGCCTACCCCAGGGCCACGTACTCGGTCCTGTCAGTGAGGAAGGAGTGAAACCAGTGGAGGGCAGTGCCAGAGAGACCAATGAAATGCTGGAGGCGGTGGAGGAGGATGTGGTGATCTACTGTGTCAAACGCAGCAGAGAGGTCGAGAAGAATGAGGAGGGACATGAAACCTGAATCAGAGGCCATCAGCAGATCGCTGGTGACTCTGATGAGAGCTGTTCCTGTGCTGTGGGAGGGACCAAAACCAGATTGGAATTTTTCATACAGGTTATTGTGTTTAAGGTGATTGTGGAGCTGGGTGAAAACAACTTTTTTTAGGAGTTTGGAGATGAATGGAAGGTTTGAAATGGGTCTGTAGTTTGACAGAGGTTTAGGGTCCAAGGTGTTTTTTTTTAGGAGGGGTTTAATGAGGGCAGTTTTAAGGGTAGATGGGACGGTACCCGTTTCCAGGGAACTGGCAACTATTTTGGTTATGAGATGACTAATGGATTGAGGGTGAGTTTTGAGCAGAGGGGATGGGAGGGGATCTAAAGAGCAGGTGGATGGTTTAGATTTGCGGATGATGTTCTCGACCTCCTGCTGCGTTGGCAGAAAGAAGTGTGATAGGAGTTGTGTGCGAGATGTCTGGGGGGTATCAATAGAGGTGCTGTTTGAAGGTGAAAGTGAAGAACGGATGCTTTCTATTTTTGATATGAAGAAATCCAGAAACCGGTTGCAGTTTATGTCTGTGTGGTTGTAGAAGGAGGAGACCTGTGGTTTGAGAATATGGCTGATTGTGGAAAAGAGTTTTCTGGAATCACCTGGGTTATTGTTGATGAGTGAGGACTAGTGATTGGACCTGGCCTTGGAGAGGGCTGTTGCATAATTTCTGCGATGTTCCCAGTAGGCCAATTTATGCACCATCAGGCCAGATGTTTTATATGCCTGCTCCAGGACACGGCCAGACCTCTTCATTTGCCTTAGCTCTTTGGTAAACCAAGGAGCGGAACGTGTGAATGTGACAGTCCGGGTTATTACAGGAGCATGAGTATCAAGGATGGAGTTGAGGCTTGTGTTGTAAAAGTCCATTAAGTCACCGGCTGATGAGAGTGGAGAGGGGGAAAGATGCTGAAGATGTGAGCTGAAGGATGAGGAATCAATGTTTTTGATGTTTCTGAAAGTGATATGGCGTTTTGGTTTTGTGAGAAAGGTTATGGGGAGTCTTAATGTAACTGCCAGGTGATCTGAGACACCAACATCATATATGTTGAGGCTGGTGAGTGGAAGGGAGTCAGTTATGACAAGGTCCAGTGTATGCCCTCTGCTGTGGGTGGGGCAATCTGTGAGCTGTTGGAGATTTAGACAATCCAAAACCTGCTTGAATTTGGCAGCTAGTCGGGAAGTGTCTGAGTCCATGTGTATATTGAGATCGTCAAAAACAAGAATATTTGAGTGTGCAGTGCAGAGAAAGATTAGGAACTAATGAATGTCAGAAATGAAAGTTGGTTGTGGTTTAGGGGGGCGATATATGACAGCTAATGTACCAGAGAAAGGATTATTGCATTTGAAAACAAGGCTTTCGAAGGAGGAAGCACCGGGTACATTCAGGAGGGACACTGCAAAGTAGCTGCGATATAAAACAGCAAGGCTCCTACCCCGCCCAGTTGTGCGGGCTTTGTCCATGTATGAGTACCCTAGTGGGCAGGCCTCATTCAGGGAGCTGTTGAGACCCGGCTGTTGCCATGTCTCTGTGAGGCAGAGAATGTCTGTTTCTAAAGGAATTGCCAAAGCCATGTAGAGTAGCAAATAAAAATTTCCAGTTTACTCTATCAAATGCTTTTTCTGCATCTAAAAACAATATGTAAGATTTAATATTTTTACTGTAGGAATAATCTATTAAATTCAGCAGTCTGCGTGTGTTAGTGACTGACTGCCCTCCTTTAATGAAACCAGTTTGATCTTGGTGGATTATAAGAGGAGTGACTTTATCTAATGCTTTACAGATTATTTTAATATCCACATTAAGGTTATGGAACAATAGCTGGTCGGAAACATAGAATCTTTGCCTAGGATTAAAATTTTATTTTTGCTTATGTTACACTTTTTGTTATTAAAGGGATAGTTCGGTATTTTTGACATGAATCTGTATGGCATCCCCATCACCAGTGTCATGCAATCACACTGACTTACCCC